ATTTTAATTTTTATTTTAGGCCAATTGAGAAATGAACACAGTTGATTTTTGGCAATTTGTGTTTTCCTAAAAATCTGTTGATTTCTCTCAACTTTCCTGAGTTGTTGGACCAAATTTGTTCTAATATTGCTTTACAATCATTTTCAATTTTGCGGAGTCAATAGTGATGCCCCCTCCTGTATTCCTGGTGTCTTCTGATTATTTTCTTGGTTACTTAGTCAAAGTTTTGTCAATTTTATTAATCCTTTCAGAGAATCAACTTTCGAAGAATTAACTTGACTTGGTTTTACTTCATTTTTCATAAGCTTTTCTATTTTCTATTTAATTGATTTGTTTCCACTTTTCTTATATTCCCTTTGTCAGCATGCTTTTGGAATAATTTGCTGTTCTTCTACCAGTTCCTTAGGTAGAGGCTTACATTATTGATCTGAGAGCTTTCTCCTTGCCTGACATAGATGTTTAAAGCCATAAATTTCATTCTAAGTGGCCACTTTAGCATCATCCCACAAAATGTACGTTGCTTTCATTTTTTATTATTCAGTTTTTTTCCAAGATCTGTTTTCTTCATTGACTAATGTATTATTTAAACTGTGGCACAGCAGTTTAGGGCCCTGGCCTGAAGCGCCGGGATCCCATGTGGGCACCGGTTCTGGTCCTGGCTGCTCCACTTCTGATCCAGCTCTCTGCTGAGGCCTGGGAAAGCAGTGGAGGATGGCCCGGGTCCTTGGGCCCCTGCACCCACATGGGAGACCCGGAAACACCAGTGGATTTTTGACCGGATTTGTGCTGAGTCAATGGATGAGTCTGAGTCCAACACGCATCTTCCCTTACTTAATCTTGTGATCATAAAATTCCCTCTCTCCTTTCACTTGGGCTTCTTTAATCTCCCTCAAGCTCGGGGGCCCGTGCCAGGCCGCAGGGTTGGCCCTGCCTCGCTGAGCTGCATGCTGCTACTCGCAACTTCGGTTCTTCACTCGCTTCCGCTTGTTTGTTGCCGGCAAGCTAAGCGCAGCTGACTTCAGCCTCATCAACCTCGCGAAACCCGAATGTCATTCTGTCTGCGTAGACACAGGCCTGTCCTCCGTGAATAATCACAGCGCGTTTCCCCGAGACTGCGCCGCGGCTTCTCCGGTGAGATCCTGGGCATGTTCAGGCCTGCTGGCGTGGGGAGGCCGTCCTTCGTGGGAACGACACGCACTCGAGCCCGCGCGCGCCTAACGATTCTGAAACACGCGGGAGAAAACAAGACCTCAACTCGGCAGGGACTCTCCCGGACTCGTCTCATCGACACCTCGGGGCTCCGCTTACAAATGCGAACAGTTTGTCATTTTCCTGCCAAATTAAACTGGTCATACCCATCTTCTCGTGAAACCGCAGCCGCAGGTAACCACCGGAGGGAGACGCCGCTGGGTCTCCAGGCCTGGGGCGCGCGCGACATGGCGGCCCCGTGGCTGCCGTATTCCACCCCGAGATGCCCGCCGGCCTTCCTGTTTCAGCACTGACGTCCTCCTCCTCTAGCCGTAAAGCAAGACTACTGCAGCCGGCCGCATGCAGACATGCGCACTGAAGACCCAGGCCTGCCTGGGGAGCGCGCCGCTGGAAGTTCAAGATGGCGCTCATGGTGTGTGCCATTGTGGGAGAAAGTGAGACAGGAAAAACCAGAACAGTGCCACGCAACATCCATTTTACCACATGTGACACCCTGGAAGACTGATTTACGCGAAGTCAACACTGAATGCATTTGATTTGTGATCATTTATTTGTATTCAGGGCAATCTTGTTCCAACTCTTGCTCCTTTGGTGCGGGTGACCTTGGCAGTGGGAACTGAACCGCGATTTTCCTCCTGCGGGGAGACTGAGCTATTTCAGGCTGCAGGTCAGGACGTGCTGAAGTAAGGGGCAAAGGTCAGGCTCCGGAGACCAACAGTCAGGACTTGCCTGTGTCACCACCCTAATTCTACCCAGGCACTGACTTCAGCTAGAACACCGATTCTGGTGCCCTCACGCGTGACACAGCAGACCGGTGTGCAGTTCGTTAAGCAAACACACTTCTGCGTGTGGGAAGGCAGGGCTGGGCCCCTGCGCGTGCTCCAGCCGCCTGGGCGGGTAGGCCAGTGTGTCAGCTTCTGACAGAAAAGCCGTCCAGTCTCCTAGCCCTCCTGCACTGTAGGTTCTACATCCAGCCTGCCCTGACAAGGTCAGAACACCCTGGCACTAGAGGCAGCTGAAAGCCAAGTTCTGTCAAACAAAACACAAATGTGATTAGACACATTGCAAGTTATCTTCAGTTTATTCCTGAAAAAGGAAGTTGCTGTCTGCTATTTTGATATAACTGGATCCAGCCAATGATATCACATATGTCTAGTTTTTAAAAAACACATTAATCAACTTCTGAAAATCTCTAATTTTTCCCAAACTTCCCTCCACAAAACCCTGCCTTCTTTCATCCCATGCTGTTTCTCAAGTACACAGGTCAAGGCTGGACATTCAGAAGTTTCCAGGCTGCTCAAACCATCAGTGCAACAATAAAACATACCGTGTGTCTCTAAGTACACTTTATTTATAGAGCTTTCACTTTTGATTTTTCGCTTACTCAAAAAATAAAATTATATCTTGAATGACAAAATTTTGAATATAAACAAATTATTTTGAATATTTATAAATGTTAACATATCCACACATGATAAAGAATTCAGTCAAATACCTTCAATAGGTAATTCTCTGGTTGTCCACCTAAGTGGAATAAATACTAAGGGCAAAAGAACTGCAAAGAAATCCTGAACTCTACTCGGTAGATTTCCTGCTGGTGGTGGTATAAATAGAACATACACTGTCCCTGCCAAAATAAGTAAATCTGTTTATGGTGCTGGGTTATTTATTTGCAAAGATGGAGAGCAAGAAGGACAAAGGCAGAGACAGAGGAGATGAAGCAAAACACTAACAATGGGTAAACACGGGATGTATAATTGGCTCTTGTCCAATTAGTTAAACTTTTCTTCAGTTCTAAGATTTTCCTAGGGAACAAGGCAGATTAGGGGCCGGTGCTGTGGCATAGTGGGTTAAGCTGCCACCTGCAGAGCCAGCATCCCAAGTGCCAGCATCCCATATAGGCGCCGGTTTGAGACCCGGCTGTTCCACTTCTGATCCAACTCCCTGCTGATGCTCCTAGGAAGGCAGCACCCGTGAGGGAGATGGGAACAAGCGCTGGCTCCTGGCTTCAGATCAGCCCAGCTCCAGCTGTTGCAGCCATTTAGGGAGTGAAACAGGATGGGAGATCTCTCTCTCGCTCTGTCTCGCTCTCTATGTAACTCTGCCTTTCAAATAAATAAATAAATCTTTTTTAAAAATAAAAGAAAAAGGCATATTAAAAAAGGCTTCAGGTATCAAAATCTCGTGTTTCCATCTGTTGTAAACACCATAATAAGATTCTCCAGGTATCTAAAGCCAAAGCTTTGTTTCTAATCACAATTGGAAGAGAAATGTGAAATATCCTGGATACTTAAGGTGCCAAGTGTTTGATCCACCAGTATTTAAACCACTTGCTCAATATCATTTGACTGAAGATGAAGTTACTCCGCAGTTCCTTCCCCACCATGAGAGATCTATGGCCCAAAGGCAGCCCTCACTTCTGCTGGAAGAGCAGCGGTGCTGCCACAGCCCAGCCCAGCCCCAGGGAACTCCACCCACCGTTTCACCGACTTCTCCTTCCCCAAGCTGCAGTTCTGCCCCTGATTATTTCTCATTAATAGGAGCAAAGTGTATTCATTTCCCTCCATCTCACGGCTGGCATTGACCTGATTCTCAGCTAAAGGAGTCAAAGCTTCTTCACAAGTAATGCACACCAAGAATAGCCAGTGCCTCATCATGTGGCCAGTGCCTAGTGTCTTTCTATGGACACTGTCCACTGACATCCCCTGGACTGGTGGTGCCGGGGCTCTGTAATCATTACATTCTAACACAGCAATCTTGCTCATTCAGGACCACCCTTCATCAAAAGGAACTTTATTCTTTCTTCCATTTATTTATTTCAAGTGTGAGACAACACGTTGTGACGAAATCTGGGCATGTGGATAGACAAAGGTATGTGTGGCACCTCATGGACCACACAGTTCTGACAGGCGTGACAGGCACCTCACAGCTGTTCCAAACACTGCAAACACCCTTGTCTGACTGTCTACCCACAGCTTGCCCACCACTGACCAAGCCGCGGCCCAGCGGCCCCAGGTAAGGGGCTGATGACATCACAAGGGCATGCGCCATGCTCCCCTGTGGAGACCCAGCAGGCGCCGTGGGATGGCACCCGGACATACCAGTCCCTCACTGCATCTCCAGAGTGTGCTCTCTTCCACATCGTCCCCAACCTCTCTGTCTGTCACCCTTCCCACCATGCTAAGCCCATTCTCATCAAATACTCTCCAAACCAGTGATGCCCGGAACAGTGCTCAGACCTCGCGTACAGGATCACCCTCTTACTCAGGGCTGGGAACCACGTCCTGGCTACACTGAGACCAAGAACATCTGCTTGTCATTCTCAAAATGCCAGCAAGGCTTCTGATCTCCCAGGGGCTCACCCTGGGAATAAGGGGGCTCTCTTCCTGCCTAATTTGTTTATGACAAATATTCAAGTATGCTCCGAGTTTAATTCACTTAGTAATGAAAAGAAATTGAGCCCAAGCAGCATGTTTGATTTATCTTAGAAAAAGAGAAAGAGCTTTGCAAGAACAAACAAAGTTAAATTAAAATAAGTAACTCTCCTCAGTGGTGGAAATTGAGTGCTTCCCAAAGAACTTAACATCCATAAAACATGGGGCTGATACCACCAAGACAGAAGAGACTTCCCTACACCGCAACTCCCAGCCACACCCCACACATGGCCAAAACATCACATTAAGTGCATGTGTGTGCGGGGCACATGTGTTCACCCTCACACACGTACACAGACTCCGTTCCCTGGGAAGCAGTGGGCAGCAGTGCCCTTGTCCCTGGCGGGCTGCACGTACCGTTTTTGCAGATGGGGCAGCACTGGTCGGGCTCATACACGGGGTCCACGCACTCAGTCTGGGGACATGCTGACACTGTGCACAGGACTTCGCCGTTGGCCTCGCAGCGGCACCGCTCGCACGGGGACACCTGAAACACAAGCCCGCGGTCAGGGTCACGCTGTCAGTGTCCTCACCTGAAAACACTGGTGTTTTTTCTTCCTCTGAACATGTGGTGAAAACACCAAGCATTTTAGGGTGTGGAAAACAAGGCAGGCACGGACAGAGGAGTCAGGGCAGGTCGCAGGTCTCCTTGGGCGCAGGCACACACCTGTTCCCACCTCCCTCAGAGCAGCTTGGGGTTTTAGCTGTCAGCCTATTGCACTTCTCTGTAACTGTCTTTTGAAGAAAGGGGATGTTTCTTTCAAAATTGAGCAAATAATACATTGCTCCTGAATTCCTGCCCAAGCGCTCATCACAAGGAGTCATCCCTGTCCCAGAGCCAAGATGCCCCCGGTCTGGCCTGGAGCATTCCCAGGGTTTCCGAGCTGGTCAGTTAAGAAGAATCCAAAACAGGGAAGGCAGGGGAGGGCCGATGGGAGGAGAGACAGGCAGTCCTCGGAGCAGGCCCTGGCCACCAGCGGTGTGGCCATCGCTCCTGCTCTCCTGGAGCAAGGCGGAAACACACCTGCAGGGGTGCTGACCTGGGGCTGAGGGGCACGGGCACAGCCTGCCCAGGATGCTGGGCTGTGAGGCATGGGGGCAGGGGTGCTGGCCTGGGGCTGAGGGCACGGGCACAGCCTGCCCAGGACGCTGGGCTGTGAGGCATGGGGGCAGGGGTGCTGGCCTGGGGCTGAGGGGCACAGCCTGCCCAGGATGCTGGGCTGTGAGGCATGGGGGCAGGGGTGCTGGCCTGGGGCTGAGGGGCACAGCCTGCCCAGGATGCTGGGCTGTGAGGCATGGGGGCAGGGGTGCTGGCCTGGGGCTGATGGCACGGGCACAGCCTGCCCAGGATGCTGGGCTGTGAGGCATGGGGGCAGGGGTGCTGGCCTGGGGCTGAGGGGCACGGGCACAGCCTGCCCAGGACGCTGGGCTGTGAGGCATGGGGGCTCCTGGCTACAAACGCACGGCAGCTCCGGGCTCCCCTGAGGCCTCCTGGCCCAGCTCCATCCACCACGTGTATCGCCATGGCCCCCAGCACTGGCCTTACATTTGCCTCTCGTGCTTCTGAAAGCCATTGGCCCAAGCGCTGCCTTTTGGAGCCAGTTAAGTCATTAGATCCATCCCTGGAAAGGAGGTAGAGTCCGCTGCCCCCCACTTCCCTCCAGGTGACCCCCTCAGTGTCCCAGTGCTGGTCTGAGCTGAGTGAAGGCCAGACAGGACCAGCACATGCAGACCCCACCCCGCCTCTGAGAGCAGAAATCAGCAGATGGCAATTTGCATTTTCAAAGACACATGCATGGGGAGGGGGTGGCCAAGTGCATGGAAACCCCATTTGCCTCTGTGAACTCCATCAGTGACACAAACACCACTGGGGAGGGGCAGAACACAAGCGACACCCACGGGCGCCCCCTGGCACGACACTGAGCGCCCTGTTACAGCGTGAAGCGAGACTGAGTCCAGCTCAGAACATCTGGTTCTCAGGTGCCTGACCAGTCACCCCGCCAGGGAGTCAGGACCTGTGTGTGCATCTGTGTGCAGCTCTGTGTCTCCCGTGTGTGTGTGAGCAAGTCTGAGTGTGTCTCTGTGTGCGTGTCGTCTCTGTGTGTGCCTCTGTGTGTCTGCATCTCTCTATGTGTGACTGTGTGGCAAAAAAAAAAAAAAAAAAAAAAAAAAAAAGAAAAGAAAAAGAAACCTTGACAAACTCAGAGCACCCCAAAAACAGAATAGCGACCTGGTTTGTGCCTTAGAAGCTCTGGGAAATATTTTGGGCACAGTATGATTTTTTTTTCTTTTCTTTTTTGCCACCATAACCAGTGCTGCCCTTGCTGCTGCTGTCTGTCCTCAGGGTTCAGCACCTTTGCCTCAAGCGCAGACAGACACTGCAAGCGGAAGGAGCAATCATTCTGAGTTTTCAAAGCAGAGACTTTGAGCTGCAAGACTCAGGCTTACCGCACATGAGCGGCAGCTCACCCCCCAGGGCTCCGAGCACAGCCGTCGGCCCAAAACGTGGACTGGATGATGGCGAGCCAGGCTGTACTGCCCCCAGGGGGGAGGGCACCACCCCTGTGTTCTCAAGGAGCAAGGGGCTGAGATATCAGGGTGTGCCTGGCACCCACCCCTGCCCCTGGGCTGTCCTCCAGGGAGGAGGGGAAAGCTGCATTTAAGTTGGGAACATGAAAGGAGGTGGGGAGGGCCCCTCTGCCAGGTGCCAGCGGCTGCACCGGAGAAACAGCAGAGAGTGCAGCTGCAGAGGAAACAGCTCCAGGTGCCCAGGGCAGCCTCTGCCTGGCCCAGCAGCCCTCACACGGGGGAGCGCACTGTCAGATGGGGTTGGCTGGCCAGCACGTGCCCGAGATGCTGCTTAGGGCACTGCAGTGGTGATGTCAACACACCCATGTGCACAGGCTGGGATGCTATCTCCTTAAACATTTTGCAACTTTATCAAAACTTTGATTGTGAGCTTTACCTTCACATTGAATGTTCAGACTCAACTCTGGGAAGGTTTGTTCACTTCCCGAGAGCCAGATCCGATGTTTGGATTCAAGATCTCTGTGAGCAGGTGCCTCTCAGGCTCCTTCCCGCCACCCGCGTCTGCCTTGGGCACCCAGGCTGGGCTCTGATTCACTCCCAGCCTAGGCCCCAGCCTGCCCCAGGCCCCTGGCAAAGCGAGGCTGCCTTGAGCAGTGGGAAATCTGGACAGCTTGCTCAGAGGCCCACTGCCCCGTGTGAGCGCGTGTCCTCTCATTGCCTACCCATAGGAGGTGACCAGTCACCAGGGCTCTGCCCTCTGGCTATGACTGGAGGGCTACAAAAGGGCAAGCTTGGTCCCTCTTGCTCACTCACCTTCCACCACGTGCTCTTCTTTTTTAACTATTTATTTGTTTGAAAGGCAGAGAGACAGAGAGAGATGGGATGCTCTAGTTCACTCCCCTAGTGGCCGCAATGGGCCAGGCCTAAGTTAGAAGCCTGGTATCCCTCAAGAGTAGCAGGGGCCCGAGCACTTGGGTCGTCTGCTGCTGCTCTCCCAGGACCTGCATGGAGCTGGATGGGCACTGGAGCAGCTGGAGTTGCAAACAGCAGCTTAACCCGGTACACCACGACGCCGGCCCTGCCGCCAGGTAGTGACGCAGCAAGACGGCCTTCCCAGGTGCCGGCACCTTGGTCTTGTGCTTCCTTGCCTCCAGAACTGCGGCTGAAACGTTTCTGCTCATTACAAATTTCCCAGTTTCAGGCGTTCTGTGATCACAGCTCCAGCAGACTGTGATGCCCACCATGTATCTTCTGGTCCGACCTGGGCCAAGCCCTCAAGGAGGTCGCAGGCCCCTTGGTCTCAGAAGCCAGAGCTTTTTTCTGACATGGGGGTTGCCGTGAGCCCTGCCCAGGTCCCAGGTCCCATGGCAGAAGTCTGCTTCCATCATATTTATGCTCCTCTCTGCTGTGAGCTGGTGGGGCCCCACAGCCCAGGGCAGCCCCATCCCAACCCAGGGACCCACAGCCCAGTGAACCCTGCCCAGGATTCAGGCGCTCTGCTCTGACCCCTGCTGGGCACCTCTGCTGCTTCTGGGACACACACAGTGCTGGGCCTCGGACTGTGAGCTCAGGGAGAGCCCTGCCCCACCCACGCTCTGCTTTCCCGGACCCCACGCAAGCCGCAGCGCCTTCTCAGGAAAGCCCGTCTGACCTCTTGCTGCTCCCAGACCTGCACAGGCTGCCCCTTCTAGGAAGCCGTCTCTGATCCCCACGCGGGCAGAGCGGGACACTTCCTCCCCACTAAGCCATCACCCAGGCCCGTACCTGTACCCTGCAGAGGCTTCGGCTACTGCAGGGTCTGTCCTAAATCAAATGCCCCACACCCAGGTGAACGCAGCAGTCGGCCCAGAAGCTACGGCCAGGCATGCCCAGAGCTGCCGCGCCACAGAGGAAGTCAGCGTGGACTCTGAAGAAGCTGGTGGAGACCCAGGGCCTTCTCGTGGTCCATCTCACAGCTCAGGTCCGTGCTGCCTGGACACACACATTCCAACAGCACACAGCTCCGTGCCTCAGGATGGCCAGTGCAGCGTCCTGGAGCAGAGCACTGTGCCTTACACCACTGGAGATGGACAGGGGCTGGCAAGGGGCAGATGGGAAACCGTGCCCCACTGTCCTGGCTGTGGGTTCCAGCACAGGGCCTGGGGCCCAGTCTTCAGGGCCAATCTGGAAGTCTGGGCCACAGGGGTCTTTTTTGGCTCATTTCTCTCTCTCTCTTTTTAAAGATTTATTTATTTGAGAGAGATGCAGAGAGGCAATAGCATAGAAGAACCAGAGAGAGGGAGAGAATGAGAGAGAGAGAGAGAGAGAGAGAGAGAGTCTTCCATCTGCTGGTTCACTCCCCAAATGGCTGCAACGGCCACAGCAGAGAGCTGGATCGGAAGTGGAGCAGCCGGGACTTGAAGCAGCACCCATGTGGGATGTCAGCACTGCAGGCAGTGGCTTCACCTGCTACACCACAATGCCAGCCCCTGGGCTCATTTCTCTAACCCACAGCTGTAACCCTACCAGTGTGGTCAACAGGGACAGCCAGCAAGCCAACCTCAGGATAAGGGACTGTGGTCCAGGGTCTGCCTGCTCCATGGCAGATCAGATTCCAAATTGCTGTTCCCATTCTAACCACTAGGTCCTAGGAAGCTAAAGAAGTGCCGTCTGCAGAGGCCTCTGCCATGTCGCACGTTTCACCCCACTGTGGAAACCAGAGCCGGGCGGGCCCAGCCACCATCATATCCTCGCCCCGCGGCCGCAGCCTCCACGGCACCTTTTTCCACTTGGACGAGGGAATTGCTCCTCCTCTCCTGAAGCTATTCTTTTCCCAGAACATCGTAATTAGGGGTAACCCAACCTTGAAACAATGCTACTTCTTGTCACAAAGCACAGCCCACGTCTCGTGCAGGACGCCTCTTCCCGTGGCACTTCCAAGGTGGGCGCACCGAGAATCTGGATGCCTCACCTACAGAA